GAAGAATAGCCAAGATGGCAAAGACTCAGCCAATGATCAGCTCCAGGAAGATCAAAGAAGGTCTAAAGTTACCTGTGAGTACTGTTACAATCAGATGACGCCTATGTGAAGCCAAGCCGTATCTGCAAAAAGCCCCCACAAAATCCCATTGCTGAAAAAAAGACACGTGCTGAAGAGGTTACAATTTGCCAAAGAACACATTGACTGATGGAAGTAAGATTGTTCTTTTTGGGTCAAATGACCCCCAAACACTGAATTCAAGCCACAGTACACTCTGAAGACAGTGAAACATGGTGGTGCAAGCATCATGTTATGGGGATGTTTGTCATACTACGGTGGCGGGCCTATTTATCACATACCAGGGATCATGGATCAGTTTGAGTACCTCAAATTACTTGAAGAGGTCATGTTGGCTTATACTGAAGAGAAAATGCCCTTGAAATGGGTGTTTCAACAAGAAAACGACCCCGAACACATGAGCAACATCTTGGTTCCAGACCAACAAGATTGACATTATGGAGTGGCCAGCCCCAATCCCCGGACCTTAATCCAATAGAAAACTTGTGGGGTGACATCAAAAATGCTGTTTCTGAGGCAAAACCAAGAAATGTAGTCCAATCATCCTGGGCTGGAATACCTGTTCACAGGTGCCAGAAGTAGGTCGACTCCATACAACACAGATGTGCAGCATTTATCAGAAACAGTGGTTATACAATTAAACATTAGTTCAATGATTCAAAGGAAAGCAAAATCTTAAAACATTTTTCAGTTCATAAAGTGAATCTTTGAGTTTGTAAAGAAGAATGTGGACACTGCTATTTTTTTTAACAGCCTAATATTCCCTTTCCTTCACTTTCTGTAAAGGAATAACACAAATGTGATGAATTTCTCTATTGTTTTGATTTGGAATAGAATCTTGTAGTGTTCCCAATGCATTTGCATGTATGGAAATAAAAACTATTATAAGGATTTTCAGCTTTATTCACTTTTTTAGACACACTGCTATTATTCTGAATTTCTTGGAATAGGCATGATCCTTAGCGTGACCGTATATGGAATACGGCATTATGAAAGACGGATACAAGGAGATGAATATTTACAAGATAATATTTAAAATCCTGTATTATTTCAGCATAAAGTTAAATGAGATGAATGCATACACAATAACGGTTAACGGCAGAAAAGTTACTGAAGAAAATTATCAAAACACAAACAAAATTTATACTGGGGCTAAAGATCTATGACATTAAAGAAAGCACAATGACACAGATGAAATAATGAAGATTTTTATTGCATGAATCATTCTTGTAAAGGGGAAAACACATTTGACAATAAAATCACCCAGAACGCATTCAGCAGTTATTTGTACATTGAAGCACGTTCCCTTTTACCGTGCATAAGCACATGTCAATTACTCAGTTCACGACTTCAATATTTTTAAATCTTTCTCCAGGAGCCCACTGGTCCATCAAGCATAAATTCTCCAACCCCCAACACATTGTAATTAACTACAGCGCAAATGCTGTGAAGTAATGGTTGACATGACAGCGAAGATCTGGCAATCACCATTTTGCTGCATTACTTCCACCAATCAATTGCTGAAGAAGCCTTCTGTGCTGGGGGCTGCAGGCCATTTTATGCATTTACACAGAATGTGGTTTGCTGTATTAAGGTCACAGGTAGCCAATTGGAAACCGTTAAATGATAGTCAGGTGACAACACACAAAATGTTTGTGTTGCGGATGCCCAATTTCAGTACCAGGTAACCCATTCCCTCTAAAACACAGAATATTCAAAACCACTAGACTCGTAAAGTTCTGAATCAGCTCATTGATTGGTTGAGGCAATAGGGAGTGCCTAACTAGTCTGTATGCTTTAAGGCCTGCATTTCCTCCAGTCGCACTGGTACAAGACACTAACTGTGGAATGCTTTAATCCTTCAAAACACATACACTCTAAAAACGCAATGGCAGGACTGCCACAGACATTGTGTTTGGTTTTACCTCATGCCTCAATGACACCGCAGAGATTCCAGACCTACCAAGTGGTAACAGCACAGATCAGCCATATAGGTGCACTGAATCCATTTTTGGCCATTTCCCCCCTATGTAAGGTTACAGGCCTTTCCCATTCAGCCAAGTCAGTGTTACTGAATGTGCCGCCACTTAGAGAAATACAGCAAAGACACAAATTCAAAATCAAAACAGATAATCAGAAAAGATAGCAAGATTCGATGCCTGGCAGAGTTTCTGGTGCTTGGAAAAGGTGGATTCCAAGGCTTCCAGCCAAACAAACTCTGGATTCAAGCTCAATTTATTATTCCATAAATAGATATTTTAATTCAGCAAGAAAGGCATAACCAGCACAAAGACACGTCATTTAGTAATCTTTAATATGAAAGTTGTGACATGGAGGGAGGAAAAGAAAAGAAAACTCTCCCCTTAGATGTCGGTTTAGTCTTTTTTTGTGTGTCACTGTGAATCACGATAAATTTATAGTGGTTTTCTTGAGTGCGGCCTCATACAGTTTGTGCCCCAAATTTGCTGGACCCTTTTGATTCAGTTTAAGAAGAAAAAAAAATGCCAACCATGATCATTGTAATTAAAGGAAAAAACAGGCACATACAGAGCCACCTAATGCTGCTTAAAATATTATCCAAAAACGAGGGGAGAAAAAAAACCTTGTTGGCAAGCTAGAGTGTATACTCAAAGAAAGCAAGCAAAGGACACAGGTGGGGGGATCAATACCCCACCCTCTTCAGTACACTAATTGTACACATTCACCAATAGTTAACCTTGAAGTGCTACATAACTAACCACAAAAGTACAGTATTATAATATAGCAATCTCTACTGTAGCTGTAAATACTAATTATTAGATTACACCCACACAAAACTTCAGATTTCTCAAGCTAATGTAGC